ACATGCATGAATGAGTCAAAGCAAGACTTTGGGCATGTTTTTTTATGAGAGTATAACATTATAACATGATATAAAACTCAAAGTTGATTTTTACATGGTATTGCCCCTTTAACACTAAGTACTGATGGCTGAATCTGAGCAGAGTAGGCCAACACACAATGCCTTCAAAGCTGAGGTAGCGTTGCCAGCTGTCCCGTATTAGCTGGAAGTCCGCATTTCAGCGAAGTGTCCCATTTGGGACGCTCTTTCTCCTGACAGTTTGCAATCAGAGCCATCATGTTACAGCGGGCAAGCATTGTCTAGCACCCCAAGCTGACAGGAGCCCCTGAGGGATGGTAGTGAAGTGACYAAATGCAACGACCATATGAATTGACTGACGTTCTCACGCTCCCCGCCCTTACATTGCTTCATGAAGGCCCAGTCGCACTAGACAACTTATGAAACGTTTTTTATGTCTAAATTGCTAATAAAAGTTATATATTTGATCAATTTGTTAAAATTACATTATGTACATGTTAGGGTTGGGCAAAATCGTATCGTGTGCAATTAATCGTCAGAAAAAGGTTAATCGATTATTTTTTGGCACTTGATGGTTAATACGATTAATGCCACTAGGCAGACTGACTGGAGGTTTCCCCGGTCAGTCCGCTCTGTGCTACTCTACGCTTCAAATATGACAAATAAAAAAAAAGGTTTCTGTAATTTATTTATCATAATTCCGTTTTACTTGGTCTATCAATACGGTAAAAAATTGATGTATAGCCTGACGTCTGTACTTTTGACACAATTTGGAACAGATTTTTTATGAAGAGCAAATCTTTCCCACTAGTGATTTAAATTGGACTTGTGACTAGAATATGAGTGTCCAGGGACTCCAGGCTAAATACCACAATTAAGCCTGGTTAGTTTTTTGCCAATATTGCCCAACCCTAGTACACTTCGAACAGAAGCTTCCTGTTGATTTTTTCAATTACATCTTCAATGTAGTTGTCTTTAAAATGTTCATAAGTTGGCAAAAGTTGTCTAGTGTGACAGGGTCTTTACAGAAACACAGACTGTAGCAGCTTCATTTCATCCGTTTACTGAACTTTAGCACAAGATACAGGCTATCGTTAGAGTGGTGCGTGACTGTTTTTATATAATACATTCATATTATAAATATAAAAACTGCCACAAATTATTAAGAAAGGGCACGTTTGACCTAACCACTGAAAACGTGGATGAAATAAGAAATGTGAAACATATAAAATACACATAAACATACAGTTTTTTTTTATTATTACCAAAGAATTTTTGTAGGAAAGAAGTTACAATATATCGTCTTGCTTACGGTATCATGGTCTTTGTGTCACATCATCAAATTCTTGCCAATACACAGCCCTAGTTGAACCCAGCTGCCGGATGTTGAGGGTTAAATTAACCTGTAGTGTTTGTTGTCAGTTCTGTAAACTGCAGGAGCAGGAGACGCTCAAAGATCTTTACAACCAGGACGATGATCATCAGGAGCTGGCTAACTTCTATGTCAGGGCCAGTTACAGAGAACAGGTAAGGATGACACCTGTAAGTGACAGGTGCCCGCAGGTGTTTGTCCTCTGGGGCTAGTTCAGCATGTGCAGCCTTCTCTAACCCCACCCTGTTTGTCCTCAGAGGCTGGAGGGCCGAATGTCCAACCTGCAGAGTGCCGTCGACGAATACAACAAGGCTAAAAATGACTTTGCTGCTAAGGTAACAGGAAGAGTGTAATATATATGAATTTTTTTATATATATAGTTTTGAATGGCGATCTCCACTCGTGATGCCACTCATACCATTTATTTAAACGCTATCTGCCGCTCTCAAATAATTGTAACATTGGCGTGGATYATTTGGAGATTCAATGGTAATATAACAGAAAAAAGATGTTTATAGAGCAAATTTTGATACATTCRATTTCAGGAAATACAGGAAAGTTTCACTGAAAGGTTGGCTGGAGGGWTGAGGTCTTTGACAGACTTGGAAAGTGAGCAGATTTGTTAAAGGTTGATGTTTTTACAAGTGTTTTAGAGCTTAGCTTGCTGCATCTATCTTGTGTGTCTATTGTGTATTTAATCTCTCGAGCCACCGCTTCTACATCATTTAAAGAAACTTAATGTTTAAAATTTGTATAAGTAGTAATATCATCACCATTTGTGTGACTGACTGCAGTAGATCGCTGGATGAGGCTAGCATGGGTGCTATGAGTTAAGCTAGCAGTACAGTAAAAAGTTTATAAGGCTTGTTGTGCCTGTTCGACAGAAAGTTCAGAGATGGGATCCGGGTGGTCCTGTGTTAGTCTTTTACTTCTGATGAAAATTTTCTGGTAAAATTCAGCTCGTCCCATCCCCAAATCCAGCTGTTAGCATTTAAAGGGATCCCCAATTAGTTGTAACATTAGACTTTATTTAATAAACATATATTTTAACTGTAAAATAAAGACTGTAAAAAATACTGTAGGCTGTTTAGTTTTGTAAATATTTTAAATATATATATTT